TGAAGTTATTCAGTATACTTTTATAGCGAGGAGAGAGCTCCAATTTTGGTCTTACTTAGGACTGCCGGTATTAGAGTATACAGTAGTAGCTGATGGACACTCAGTCAAGACTTTGATTGGATTCCGCGAATAGCTAACAAATCATAGAGCCATAGTCAAGTTAGTGCTCCTTCAACACGGGTTGCTAGACAATGACACTTGACGTCATCTAGGTGGACAGCAGTATGTAGACCGCGCTTAACTGGAGGAACAAGTAACTGCTATGCTGTGGAGATCAAGAAGAGTGCTGTTTTATGAAGTGATTAAGTGCGGAAATCAGGGAATCAGTCAATGCTGAGAAGGCTTTCTCAACTCTCGCTGTCATCATTTCGTGCAACGCTCCGAGAGACGGAGACTGGGCAGTCGTCTTTCTCCTTCACGATACTAGTTTAGGATGTTTCTTGTTCTTGGACCTCCTCAGTACGTTCCCATATAATTACAGACCTGCCCTCTTATTTTCAGCTGGACGAGTATGACCAAACTGACTTCTTTGACTTTGCTTCTAATTTCCGGCATCAGTGCCATGTCTTTAGGACGATAAAGGATGGTCTCCATCGCTCGGGGTGGGAGAAGCGTTGGGAGAAAGAGTGTTGGAGAGTGAAAAATTTATACGATGGTGGCGAATGGAGATATGTTAGATGGGAATCGATGAGATCTTTCCCCATTCAATCGACAGCGGCACCAATTAAGGATGACTTGGGGAAGAAAGTGAGAAGGATCGGTTCGTGACAGAGTTCTTGCAGTCCAAAGAAGAAAATTGTTGAGGGCGTTACTAAGTCGTTGCCGGAAAAGGCGCTCCGTCCCATTCCTAAAGGCAGTCGTCGAAAGAGCTTCGCCCATCCGCCCAGTTGAAGAGCTCTGTCCCATTCCAGTGCATATCGAAAATCAACTGATGCGGCCTCGTTGATCGATATTGTCACTACTGCACCAACAGTTATCGGCTGACTTCCATGGGACGTTAAAAATGTCCAAAACTACCGACGGCGCTATGTTACTCAATCTTCAAGGAGAAGAAGGGATAGCCTAACTATTACTTGATGGATCATCTGAAGAAAACATTGACGATTAACCAAGCTCGAGAGAATCAACTTTGAGAGGGCCATTTTCATGCGATGACAATCCTAGCAGAGCTGGGAAGAGCAAAACAGGGAAAGCAGTTCTCAAAATTGTCAACGCTGCTTCTCCGGCTCTGAGAAAATGAGAACAATGACCGATAACTAGGATTTCCATCGTTGCATCACAGTATAGAAAGTACGACGACAAGAAAAGTTAATAATATTTTCAGCACGTTACCCTCTCCTCCGAACATCAAGGAGTAAGCGAAAGGAATGAGAGAAGCGGTAGCTTCCCTCCCTTCTCCTAGTGCTCAATCCCAAACAATCGACCTTGAAACACAACAGTCCCGCCTGAACATCATAAAAAATCTGATC